AAAATATTATCATAAAAATACATAAACTATGTAGCAAAAATATCTTTAAAATCCATGCAAAATAAAAGTGGTATCATTCTTTTTTGAGATACATTTATTGTATTCATGTACATTCATTATTTACCGCCTCTTTTTTTATTGTTGTTAATCCTCACCTGATGATATTTTTTCATTGATTTTTAGAGAAAGTAGAAGTGGGGAGGGATGGCGGGTGGAGAAGAGAAAGAGGAAGAAACATCTATGTGAAAAAGGCACATCGATTGATTGCCTCCTCAGCGTACCTGGACCAGGGCTGGGGATCAAACCTGAAACCCATGTACTTGCTCTTGACCAGGAATCGAACCCACGACTTCAGTGCTTGGGCCAACATTCTAACCATTGAGTAATGCCAGCCAGGGCTGCTGCCCCTTTTAGAAAATGTTAAGACTCCACTCTTGCAATGGGCTCACAACAGTTTTCCTAGCAGTATTCAAATCTTCAACAGATTTAAGGACCTATATTCAAGGAGGTAAATACCAGTAGATTAAAGAATAAAATTAGAAGTTTTATCTTAGTGACTTAATTCTGTGCAGTTCATTAGGTACCTTGCTTCTAAGTAGCTCTCTAATTGTGACAAATGCAGGGATCACAATAAAATTTAAAATGTTAAGCTGGTGGAGAGATACTTTGTGGAGGATCAATCCACAGAAACAACCAAGTACGAGTCCAGCATTGAAAAGAATGTGATCCTGATTTACAGTGTTGCACATCATCCTTTTGCCCCTAGATTAGAGCCAGGAAATACACCCAGGTTTGAGCATTCCCAGGGTTGGTTTCCAACATTAATACTTTCTCATTATCGTAAATTCTCTGCAGGAGGATCCCATGGTTATGGTGGCTCAGTCAGGCAAACAGACTGCAAAGGAATGGTTCCCCAACACCTAACATCTGTCATCCTGTAACCTAACCACCTACCATCAACATAGATGATGATGATAATGCATTATTTTAAGAAAGCTTTTTAAATACTCTTCATTTTCTCCCTGATACTCTTAAAGGGGATAAAAGACTCCAAAAAAACAAAAGTTGACAAGAACAAATATTTTAATAGTCATTAAATTCTCACTTCAGAGTGTTGCCTTCAAATGTTTATATGTTACAAAGGGCTATTTTTCATCTTGTATAATAAATAGGATGATATTTGCTATGGGAAATTTGCCAAAAGAGTTTTGAAAATAGATTTTGAACCCATTCAAATCATAATGGCTAGCATCTATCCATCACTCAGTGTGTGCTAGGCATTGTGTTCAGTGTCTGACCATCCTATATAATAAAGAGCTAATATGCAAATGGTCGTCATGCCCTCATGCCGTAACAGCTCAGACACTCAACACTGGGGAAAGAGGAATGGGGACCAGCCAGGCTGTGGCCCAGGAGAGGGACAAGCCACCCACCCTGCGGTCCCAGGCATAAGCGGCTGCACCAATGCCTGTGCCTGCACCTGCAGCCCGGGAGAGGGACAAGCCGCATGCCCCCCGGTCCAGGCGCCAGTAACTAGGGCTGCAGCCAGGGAGAGGGACAAGCCGTCCGCCCCACAGTCCCGGGCGCCAGCAGCTGAAGCCCAGGCGAAGCCACCCGCCCACTGTCCCCTGCAGCTGTGGCCAGCCCGGACAAAGCCGGTCTGGGTCCTGGGTGCCTGCAACCGGCCAGAGGGAATCCTAGGTCCCAGGTGCAGGGCGAGGCAGAGGCGGTTAGGGGCGATCAGGCCAGTAGAGAAGCAGTTAGGGGCAATCAGGCAGGCAGGCAGAGATAGTTAGGGGCAATCATGCAGGCAGAGGTGGTTAGGGGCAATCAGGCAGGCAGACAGGCGAGTGGTTAGGAGCCAGTGTTCCGGGATTGTTGAGAGGCAGTCAGACATCCCTCAAGGGGTCCCACATTGGAGAGGGTGCAGGCTGGGCTGAAGGACTCCCCACCCTCCACCCCCACCCCTGTGCACAAATTTCGTGCACCAGGCCTCTAGTATTTACATAATCTTCTTAATTGCACTATTAAGAATAAACACACAGAGAGAAGTCAAGCACTCTGCCAAAGTCATATAGCTAAAAAATAATGGAGTTGAGGTTTGAATCCAGGTGCCCCCACACTCGACCACTATCCTCTGATGTGTCTCCTAGAAGTCCTGTATTCTAAGAAGGAAATGGAAATAATGGACTTTAATAATGCATTTATGATAGCATTTATCTAGCAGTTTATGTAAGCCAGACATGATGCTAAACACTTGCCCATATCCATAACAACCCACAACCCTCTAAGGCAGCGGTTCTCAACCTGTGGGTCACGACCCCTTTGGGGGTCAAACGACACTTTCACTGGGGTCGCCTAAGACCATCAGGAAACACATATATAATTACATATTGTTTTTGTGATTAACCACTATGCTTTAATTATGTTCAATTTGTAACAATGAAAATACATCCTGCATATCAGATATTTACATTATGATTCATAACAGTAGCGAAGTTGCAATTATGAAGTAGCAACAAAAATAATTTTATGGTTGGGGGTCACCACAACATGAGAAACTGTATTAAAGGGTCGCGGCGCTAGGAAGGTTGAGAACCACTGTATTAGAGAAAGTGAGCTAGCAAGATGGGTGGTATGACTGAAATGGAAATGATGGAGGTTCCCAGATCCTTGCAATAATACAGTATAAGGGATGTCCATAGGAGCCACTGCCCTCGATGGAGAGACAAGAAGATCAGATAGAAAGGAGAAACCAAGGCATAGCCAGACTCGTGTGGGTGTAAATTTTATCAGGAGGAATGCTTGAGAGAGTGGCAGGCAGCAAAATCCTCAGGGGTGAGGGTACGAGTGATGAGGGAGGGCTGGAAAATCTGAGGAAGTTGGTTTCAAGACTAAGTTTTAGGATGACTGGAACAGCAGTAATGAGGAAGGTGGAAATACTAGTGGTGTTCATGCAGAGATAAATAACTCCCAGAAAAGTTGCAGAGCAATCTGTGGTGCTTCGGGTGAGGACTGCAGAGCTAGAATGACTGTGGGGGCACAGCAAGGCAGTTTGGTGGCACGTCATAGGGCCTGCAGGCTTTGGAATCCGGCTGGCCAGAGTTCAGATCCCATCCCTGCATCTTGCTACCTGTGTGATCTCAAGAGAATCTCACTTTGCTCACGAGTGAAATGAGCTCCTAAGGACATGATTAAATGGAAACCACAGGGCCAAACACATCGTGAGTACTCAGTAAGTGTTAGCTATTGACATTAAGACCACATGAATTAGCACTACTGTGAACATAAGGGTGTATATATCCTTTCTGATTGGTGTTTCAGGATTCTTAGGATATATTTCTAGAAGTGGAACCACTGGGCCAAATGGCAGTTCCATTTTTAATTTTTTGAGGAAACTCCACACTGTTTTCCATAGTGGCTGCATTTCCACCAGCAGTGTACTAGCCCTTTTCTCCCACATCCTGGCCAGCACTTGTCATTTGTTGATGGTAGCCATTCTGGCAGGTGTGAGGTGATACCTGATTGTCATTTTAATTTGCATCTCTCTGATGATTAGTGACTTTGAGCATTTTTTCATAGGTCTCTTGGCCATCTGTATGTCTTCTATGGAGAAGTGTCTATTTAGGTCCTTTGCCAATTTTTAAAAAATATATTTATGTTGATTTCAGACAGGAAGCGAAAGGGAGAAGTAGAAACATCAATGATGAGAGAGGATCATTGATTGACTGCCTCCTGCACGCCCCACACTGGGGATCGAGCCCCCAAACTGGGCATCTGCTCTGACTGGGAATCCAACGTGACCTCCTGGTTCATAGGTCAATGTTTAACCACTGAGCAACTCCGGCCGGGCCCTTTGCCCATTTTTTAATTGGGTTGTTTTTCTTCCCTTTGTCAAGTTGTATGAGTTCTTTATATAGTTTGGAAATTAACCCCTTATCAGATGTATCATTGGCAAATATGCCCATCAGTAGATGAATGGATAAAAAAGCTGTGGTACATTTACACCATGGAATACTATGCAGCTGTAAAAAAGAAGGATCAATTACCCTTTGAGACAGCTTGGAGGAACCTGGGGATTATTTTGCTAAGTGAAATAAGCCAGTCAGAGGGAAAAAAAAAGTATCACATGATCTCACTTATATGTGGAATCTAATCAACAAAATAAACTGATGAACAAAATAGATCCAGAGACATGAAAGCATGCAACAGACTGACAAGTCTCAGAGGGAAGGTGGGGGGTGGGGGACGGGAAGAGATTAACCAAAGAACTTATATGCATATATGCATAACCCTTGGACACAGACAATAGTGCCATGAAGGCCTGGGGGGCGGGGCCTAGAGCGGGGTGGAGGAGGGCAATGGGGGGGGGGGAGGAGACATCTATAATATTTTCAACAATAAAGATAAATAAATAAATAAATAAATAAATAAATAAATAAAGACCATATGAATTAACTCAGTTTGAGTCTTTCCCACAGAATTTTAGTTCTTTTTCGTGTTGGCAAATACTCGGCTTTTTAATTTTACAGAGTATTTTGTACATAGGAACAATATGGCACATGTTTAAGTACTCAAATATACACGCAAATACTTAAGCCTCGTTCTTTAAGATGAGTAGACACGGTCATGCCCATGGATTTCAGAGTTGTAAGAGATCGTTGAAATTATTTACAGAAGAGAACTAGGCTGAATAAGGCTGGGCTGACCCAAGAGTACTCGGTTGTGGAGCCAGAACTGGAGCCCGGGAGGAACTCCATTTCTGGTCTAAGCTCCTCGCACACTCCCGTGTTTCGGCAGCCTTCCCTAGCCATCAGGAAGCAGGCGTCCCCCCCGGAGGTCCCCGCGGTACCGTCCAAATGAAGCGCCGGCGCCCCGCCCTCGCGGTAACCAGCCTCACTGGGTTCGGAAATCGCTCCCCGAGCCGAGGCGGGGCTGGTGCTCTCGGCCGCGCCCCGCGTTCCAGTTGGTGGAGAGGGAAGCATCCTGGAAAACGACGGGCCTGGGAAAGGATGCGGGAGAGGGACGGCCGGGGCCGGAGGCGGAGACTGCGCGCTCCCTCTGGGTAGCGCCCCAACGAGTACCCCGCAGAACTGCGTTCCCGCGCGGCCGGGCTCGGGCAGGGCTGCCTGGGCCTCGCAGAGTGGGCAGGGGCCGCGCGCGCCAAAGGAAGCGCTTCGCCAGCGGAGCCAGGCGCTAGGCGCCCGGCCCACCTGGGGGCGCGGCGGCGCCGAGGGACCCCGCGAGTGTCCGTGCGTCCGGCCCGCGCGGCACGCCCATGGGCAGCCCCTGGAACCGCAGCGACGGCGCGGAGGGCTCGGGGGAGCCGCCGTGGGCCGCCCTGCCTCCCTGCGACGAGCGCCGCTGCTCGCCCTTCCCGCTGGGGGCGCTGGTGCCGGTGACCGCCGTGTGCCTGGGACTGTTCGCCGTCGGGGTGAGCGGCAACGTGGTGACCGTGCTTCTCATTGGGCGCTACCGGGACATGCGGACCACCACCAACCTGTACCTGGGCAGCATGGCGGTGTCCGACCTGCTCATCCTGCTCGGGCTGCCCTTCGACCTGTACCGCCTCTGGCGCTCGCGGCCCTGGGTGTTCGGGCCGCTGCTCTGTCGCCTCTCGCTTTACGTGGGCGAGGGCTGCACCTACGCCTCGCTGCTGCACATGACGGCGCTCAGCGTGGAGCGCTACCTCGCCATCTGCCGCCCGCTCCGCGCCCGCGTCCTCATCACCCGGCCCCGCGTCCGCGCGCTCATCGCCGCGCTCTGGGCGGTGGCTCTGCTCTCCGCCGGGCCCTTCTTCTTTCTGGTGGGTGTCGAGCAGGACCCCCGCGTCGACCCGCTGCCGGACCTGAACGGCACCGCGCAGCTCACCCCCTCGCCCGGCTCCTCGCCACCACGGCCACCACGGACTCCGTCGGCCCTCGGGTCCCCTGCGGCGCCCACGCTGCCCCCGCCGTCGGGGCGCGAGGCGGCGGCGGCCGCCGCGCTGTTCAGCCGCGAGTGCCGGCCGAGCCCCTCGCAGCTGGGCGCGCTGCGGGTCATGCTGTGGGTCACCACCGCCTACTTCTTCCTGCCCTTCCTGTGCCTCAGCGTCCTCTACGGGCTCATCGGGCGGGAGCTGTGGAGGAGCCGGGGGCCGCTGCGAGGCCCGGCGGCCTCCGGGCGGGAACGGGGCCACCGGCAGACGGTCCGCGTCCTGCGTAAGTGGCGCCGCGTCTGTTCCACACACACCAACCCGCTGGTCTCCCAGGCCCTGGCGCCTCCGCTCCTGGGCCCCCGGGGCGGCCCTGCGGGTGGGCTATCAGGTCCTGTAAACAGCAGTGCTTTTCAGGGGCGCTGGGATCCGTGAGCTGCTGGCCCGAGGACAGGAATTGGAGGCTCTTAGATGTCCCTGTTGGAAGCCGCAGATGGGGGTTCTCACAGTATCCTTGAGAAGACAGGGTAGATCACGTAAAGCTAAAATGTCTTTACTTAATGCTAAGTTTTCCTGAAGGTTAAAGTGAACCATGCCCATAAGAACAAATAAATACATAAAAGACCTGTTTCAGAATTCTTTTCAACGGAAAGCAGAGAACATGTCGCTGAGTGGCTGTGTGGAAGGGAGCCTGTCAGCTTGTTAATAGAAATTGCTCCTTCTGCTTTATGTCCAGCCTTGGTAGCACATATATTAGCCACATATGCAACTTTAAAGCAAATATAGATGGGCTGGGGATTTGGTTAGGTCAAGGTTTTATCTAATTGTTCTGCTGTTACTTATTACTTCCGATGGTTTCTTGGGGACCCTTGTTCGTTTTTAAATGCTTTAGCTAATCCCGGTGCCTGTGTCTTGTTTTGCAGTGGTGGTGGTTCTGTCATTTATAGTTTGCTGGTTGCCTTTCCACGTTGGCAGAATCATTTACATAAACACGGAAGATTCTCAGACGATGTACTTTTCTCAGTACTTCAACATCGTTGCGTTGCAACTTTTCTACCTAAGTGCATCCATTAACCCAATCCTCTACAACCTCATTTCAAAGAAGTATAGAGCCGCGGCCTGGAAACTACTTCGAGGGAGACAGCCGGCACAGAGAGGTGTCTGTAGAAACAGAAACACAGAGGGGACCACGGGAGGAGACTCGGCTGGCTACACCGAGACCAGCACTAGCCTGCGGACGCCTGCCGCTAGCGTGGCCAAGCAAGTCGCCTCCTCCCACAGTCCTGGCACTTCGGAGAAAACAGGTCTGTAGGACCATAAGGACTGAAAGGGGAAACGACGCTGTTAGGAAGAATTAGAAAGAGCGGTGCACATTTTGTAAGTTGGCCAGTAACTTCGTTAGCATAATTCTTTTTCAATCAAGATACAAAAAGTGCACCAATCTTTCTAGTTTTCCTTCCATGTACCTCCTCAGAGACATTCATTTTAGCCTCACGCAATCCCAATCACGAAATGTGCTCTCGGGAGGTTTTACACGTCTTCGTTCTCCTGGTCTTTGGAAATATGATTGCTCACTTTACAGTTCGTAAGATACAGAGAGATGCTGCAATAAAAAATAGTTGCCTTTGAGATCAAAGGTGTATTTTGTTTTTATGCTTTGTAAATAAATGTTATGGTGCATATACAAGGAACCCAGGATAATGACCGTATTGATTCAAGAAATTATTTAATGTCTATTTATGGCAGCAAAAGTTTTTAGAAGCAAGTGAAAGGAATTCTGGGCTGAGTTCAATGTTCAGAGCCCTACCTCTCTTGGCTCAGACCAAATCATAAAGTTTAGGCACAATGCCTTCCTGCCGAACTACTGTGCATAAGCAACTGTTGCAACCTACTTATCCGGCCAGGAGGTAGCAAACTCAGGCAGGAAGCCTGAGGGCAAGAAGCTGCAGCAAGACCTGGCTTCCGGACATTTATAAAGAGCTTTCGTACACCTTATTTGCCTCAGGTTGGTGGCTAAGTGTTGTCATGATTACTGCTTTAGTAGTGATAAAACTGAGTCTTAAATTTCCCAAATAGGAACTGATGGGTCTTAAGAACTCCAGTCTTTAAGATCTCTTATTTTAAAAATAAAACAATAATTTTACAACTCATTTAACAGCAGCTGGTAATCCTGCAATTAGCAGTAGTTATCTTATTGCGCTAGTGGTGCTGTCGTTTCCTGAGGTTGATCAAAGTCACCTGGAGTCACACATTTCCCACTCAAGATGCATCATATAAATCAGACTTGGTTTATCACCAGCATTTATAAAACCAGACCCAGGGAAAGAACTAGGTCTGGGCACACATGCCTGGTCTTAATATAGCGAATGTGTAGCCTGCCCTGATTATTACAAAATCAGAACAGGGAGATCATTCGCAATCTTTAAGATCTATACCCACTCCCACTCGTGAAAAACACAAGTCAGCGGATGTAGTCAAGGGTGAAGGAGAATGTGTTGGACATTCTGACCAACAGCTCTGTAACTTGTTTTATTTTTTACAGTTTAAAACATAAAGCTGTTTCCAGAGGGCCTCATGCACATGCAGTCTGTGTGAATGGTGCCCCTGGAGGTGGGAGGGCACAGCTTGCTTGGTTGTAAACTACAACCAAGGGAATCCATCAACAAGGCTCACTCACCTGCCCACGGAGTCCTGCTTTGCCCCTTGATCAGCCAGGCACAGTGTTGCCTCCAAGTCCCTTGGCTAGTGGAAGAAGCAGACAGCAGCAGTCCCTACACTCTGTTCCGCAGATTTTCGAGGATTATTTGAAAAGTCTTTCTACTCACAGAGTTCCTGTCTGGGCAGTCAAAAGTGGCTTCTTCCCTGTGGAAGGTCACAGCTAAGAACTTTACTGATGCCCAGCTGGCATGGCTCAGTAGTTGAATGCCAACCTACGAACCAGGAGGTCAGGGTTTGATTCCCTGTCAGGGCACTTGCCGGGGTTGCAGGCTCCATCCCCAGTTGGGGGCGTGCAGGAGACAGCTGATCAATGATTCTCATCATTGATGTTTCTCTCTCCCTCTCCCTATCTCTCTGAAATCAATAAAAAAATATATATTTTAAAAAGAGCCTTACTGGTATTTTATTTATAGTACAATAGTTTAGGTATAGAAGCAAAGACCTCTCCTTGGAGCTTTCTTGTTCTTAGTCTAGAAAAGGATTTACATCAGACTCCCCTGTGATGTAAGAGTGTCTGCAGGTGTGGGCGTGGCCAGGATCCTTCCCTGCAGGGTCCCTGAGATGGGGTGCCTGCGCCCATCCCTCTAGCGGATCACTGTACCATTGTTTTCAAAATGCTGGTCTCACCCATTGGTGGATTGTAAAATCAGTGGAGTAGGTCACATTTTTCTTTAATGGAAAGGAGTGGGCAAGAATAGAATTGATAAATCAGCTCATCCCACACATTAAGGGTAACTGCTGTATTGTGAAACTTTTGTCCAATAATGTGTTGGTTGGTGTCTTCCTGGTTCACAAAATAAAATGTTTACCTACTGTGGGTCATGGTAAAAAATATTAGAAAAATTGTTCTAAAATCTAAAATTGTTCTCAACCCCAACTGAGAGTGTCCTTCTCCTGTACGTACAGGAGGGCAGTCCTGGAAGACCCGGCAGGGGAGAGAGATCCCCTGGAGAGGGACAGCAGGTGTGGCCTTCCGACGTGGGCCTTCCTCCCCGGGGGCCGTATCACGGAGACGCTCCCTGTACCCAGACAGAGCCCAGAACTGGCGTCCCTACAGGGAACTCTTTGAGCCTCCTCTCCTTTCTGCAGGCCACACCATTTGTGTTGGGTGAGGAACAACCCTTGGGGAAAGGTTTTTCTTTCATTCATTCAATTGGCAAATATTTACCAAACAACTGCTAAATGCTAGATGTGTATGACAAAATACACTAGAAAAATTAGCTCATGTCATGCTGTCCAAATCAATCAACTTTTCAATGCATTTTTTGGCTATTGTATGTGATTGTGTCTTCTTGACTAACCACAGACACAGCTCATCTATATATATAAAAGGTTAGGTGGCTGACTATTTGTCCATAGGACCGACCGACTCACCAACCGGTACATATGATGCACACTGGAAATTTAAAAATAAACATCTTCTAATCAATTTCCTTTCAATGTGCATGAATCCATGCACTAGGCCACTAGTAGGTTAATAAAAGCACTTAGCTCAGATGGGCCTGCCAAATATCAGGTTAGTGTCATCCACACAGACATTCCTCGTCTTTTCTATGGGAGACGTTTTCACTTCTGAAGGAAATGTTCAAAAAAGCTATTGCATGGCACCTCCTAGGGACCGAGAGCCCCCTGTACCGGATCCTCAAGGGCACATAAGAGCAGCATGCTGACGGTGTCTGAAGTCTGAGCATGGCCTCTCCTGGCCATTTGTACTCATGTGATAGTAGCATTTGCCAGAATGTGGAAGCTTTTTGTGTATAAATGATAGTGCTTGAACGGGTCAAGTGTTGTAAGTGGAGCTTTAAAACAGCTTTTCTTAAACTTAGGTGTGAGGCAATTTTTTATTGTGAGCCAACGTAATAAGATTCCTAACTTTAAATATTACACAGACTCTGGCAGTTCCGAGCAGCCTTCAGATACCAACATTTTTTCTCCTGGGAGCACAGGAACATTTGTCATTGAGCAAGCGTGGGCTCCACGGGCATGCTTTGTGCCCACTCGGTGTGCCCCTGGCTCTCTGTAAGCTACAAGGACGTGGCAGAGACTGACTCTACTTGCCAACTTCATAGGAAAACAGCACACGCCTTTTGAAGAATTATGGACTCCTGTGTAATTTTAAGGGCTAGAAAGTGCCAGCCAGACCAGGAGAACAGAGTGTGGGCTGGAATCTCTTGCATGGCGCTTAGTGTATGGCAGTGGCTAGTTCCCAGGAATTGTAACTTGCTCCCTAAGGGCAGACTGGGTTTTATTCCCCCTTGGCATCTCTTGCCCACATAGACAATGTGAGTTGAACTCAGCTGGCAGCAAGGGAGGGTACGGGAATCTGCACCCCAGCAGACGGACAGATGGAGGCTGAGCTAGCAGATGACTGGAACATCCATTCTAATCTGGCAAGCACCAGACAGGAGCAAGAAGGGCACGCGCGGGGAGAGGGTGCTGAAGGGAGTAGAGGAAGGGCCTTGGAGAAAAAGGCAAGGGCACCTGGTATAACCAGAAGCTGGAGCTTGCAAAACACCTCACCATAGTGGGTTTGGCAGGGGGGGGGTGGGGGGAGGTACACCCTGAGCCTGGGAGGCCAGTTGGGACCAGTTATTTGCCGTAATCCAGGCACGGGGCACTCATGGGTTAGTGTGGTGACACTGGAGCAATGACACTGCCACTTTCAACACCTCCCCTCACCGAGACCTCTAACAATGTTGCAGCCTCAGAGCAGCGAGGTCCCTTTCCCCATCCTTAATCCGCAGCCTTAGGCACTCCCACCACATCAGTACCAGGGCCAGTTGTCATCTCTTTCCTCTCGCCTTTGCAGTGAGTGTGCAAGTTCCAAAAGTGTTCTAAGAGATTCTACATTGTGATGATAGGGAGATAAAAAAATTTTAAGCAAATATGTGCTGATTTCAAGGTTATGTCTTAATGTTGCTATAATAATTATAGCTGTTTATAGCTGGAACATAAATAGAGCCAAGTGTGATCTTTCTTTGTTTCTTTCTTACTCCCACAACAATTCATTACTTGTCCTTATAGTGAATGTCAGCTCCCTTCTCTCTGGATTTCATGAATTCTCTAGAGCAGCGATTTTCAACTCGTGTGCCGCAAGTGCTTGCATTGTTTAGTCAGGGGCATTGATCTCTTTTCCCTTAGATTGTCAAATAAAAAAATGACAACAGCCACACAACAATAGCCATATGGTGTGGACGAATCATATTATACCTATTTTTTTGTCAGATCAGCAAAAATATCTTCTGGCATGCCTCAGAATTTCAGTAATCAGTTTATGTGTGCCATGAGATGGAAAAGGTTACTCTAGAGCAGTGGTTCTCAACCTTCTGTTCCTTTAAATACAGTTCCTCATGTTGTGACCCAACCATAAAATTATTTTCGTTGCTACTTCATAACTGTAATGTTGCTACTGTTATGAATCGTAATGTAAATATCTGATATGCAGGATGGTCTTAGGCGACCCCTGTGAAAGGGTCGTTCAACCGCCAAAGGGCTCGCGACCCACAAGTTGAGAACCGCTGGTCTAGAGCATGCATAAGAATCACCGGGACGATGGGTTAAAACACAGATTGCTGGGCTCCACTGTGAAGGTGAGACTGCTCTAGACATGTCTGTCCCACAAGCTGGACCCGACCCAGAATGGAGGATGCTTTCTGAAATCCTCCTTAGAGACTGCCTGATGGTAACTCATGTTCATTCTGACATAAATAAGCATCCTTCCCTGCCTTCTGCTACATGCTGGTTCCTGGAAGAGGTTGTTGTCCTGACCTGGTCAAACATGTAAAGTGATTTCTGTACCTGGTAGCATTCACATACTTGTTCCCATGACTATCCACCCCTTTACCTTATATGATTCCCCTGCCAAGTAGCGAGGGGACTCATTTTGTAGTGTAGTCGCCTAAGACATACCTCGTATGTAAGTTTCCCTTAATAAACTCTATTAGTTGCCAGACTGGACTGACCAGCCTCTTTTTTTAGTCTTTCCCTGTTCTCCATTTCCAGAGGTAGATTTTCAGTCTCAGGGTTTTCGGTGGGTCTTGCTGTATGAACATCCTCCCCTGAGTTTCTGATTCAGAGTCTGAGTTGGGGCCCTAGAATGTGCATTTCTCTCCAGTGTCCAGTGATGCTGATTCTGATGGTCTGCTGATTCTGATGGTCTACTGTAGATTGTTGCTGTAGAAAATGAGATCCACAGACCAGTGGCATTAGCATCACCTGGGATCTTGTTAAATTGCAGATTTTCAGGTCTCACCCCAAAACTTCGGAATCAGAATCTGCATTTTAACAAGATCCCCAGGGGATTCCGATGCACATAAATATTTGATTGATTAATCTGGAGACTAGATGGGTGCCATCAGAATCTCTGGGGGTTTGACCCAGACACATTTTTTAAAAGCTCCCCAGTCTCTTTCATTCTCATTCCACCCAACTCCCCCTTCCCACCCCTTTCCTTCCTTTTCCTCTGTTTACCCCAGGATAAAGGAAGAGATACAAAGAGAGTAAACAAAGATACTAAATGTGGGTTTGGGTGGTGGATTCATGTGAAAGTCACTTATGTTCTAGCAGAAACTCATGACTGTGATCCAGTAATGACTCCCTGGCTCTTTAGCCCTTCAGTCCCCCTGATCTCCACCTGTGGGAGCAGCCAAGCCACTCCACTGTCACTGCTGACTGAGGTCCTTCTCCCTGCAGGCCAGGCTGAGTCCCGTAGTCTCTGACTCCTCATTTCAACAACTAGGCCTCCACCGCAGCTCCTGCTCTTCAAAACATGTTGTTTAACTTGTTCAATACCTGATTTGGCTCCTTGACCTCTTCCTCATCTTCCAGGACAGACCTACTCAGCTCCTCAGGGCCCTCTTGGGTTCTATCCCTGATTCCTTGACCGCATGTCACCTGTGGGCCTGTGGGTAGCTCTGGAGCATTCCACCTGCTGCCCCAGATTCCTGCCTCGTGCTAGTTGCTAAGATCAGCCAGAGTTGCCTTTCGGGTGGACGGACTAGTCTCCAGGTTCCAGTGAAGGGCTGCCTCCTGAGTCTTGACTCTGATAAGCCACAACAGCTTGCTTGTCCTCCGAAAGCCATTTTGGGTCTCTAACCTTTCAACACTGAGTCCCTAAAACTCAGAGGCTGATTGGATATGAGAGAAGAGGAAGCCATAACTCCAGCATTTTAAGCCTGTGTAACTAGGAGGACATTTGTGCTATTTGAAAGAATAGGCTGTCCGAGGTAGCGATGATTAGCAGGGGACGATAATGAATTCCGTTTTGATTTCTCTGTTTCC